TTGTTGCTGTCGTTGTTGTTGTTGTTATTCAAATTGTGATTTTGTGCCCTAGGTTTGTGGTCCCTTGGAGTCTGTGATCGAAAGTCTTTGCCCCTCGCAGTAGCCTTCGTAAAGCCTTGCAGCTGCTGGGTGTTCCTGACTATGCTTATGCCATGTGACCTTGAGTTTCCCCCGTGCGAGTAGTTTGCATGACCGTCCTTGTGCCGTAGTAGCAAGGTCATTGTCATCAGGATTAAAACATTCCAAAACCATGAATCCTACTTTTGCAACTGTTGAGCATTTTGGGCATGCGATCGTGCAACAGTTAGGCCCGAAGCAAAGACGTCTGACCCCTCGTCCCGGAGTCTATTGCAGAAGACCATTGCCCTGAACATGAATCCCGCATAAACGCCCAAAACCTACAGTTTGAACCCTACCGAATTCTCCGCATCGTCGGCCCGGGATCGTCGCGAGCCAGGCACAGCTGCAGCTGATGTTCGAAGAGCTGCTCGGTACCGGAATCTGTGGAAGGGATTCTCTGGCAAGTCGGTGGGAAGCTGTACGTTCGTTGTTGTTTTAGGGTTGCTCGAACGTTGCTTCCAGCGAGACTGGAGACCTGGACAGGGAACTCATCCCCTAGCCTTTTCCCCCGTAGATCTAAAGCTCACGGCCATGGGTTCTGTTGGGAAAAGACGTATGACGTATGTGCACAGCGTCAATACAGCATGGCTGCCGAAAGGAACGTTGGCCAGCAACTGAATGTCTCTGCCGAAGCAGTCTAATTAACAGGAGGATTGTCCAGAGCCTCATAAGAGATACTTCAACCCTAGACTCTGAACCCTAAACCGAGCTCCAAGCACATTCAAGGCTCGACGAGGACGAGTCGGGCGAGGTCACCCTCGACGAGATTATGGCTGCGCCGGATGCAGCCTTGTGGCAGTAGCCAGAGACAGGAACAAGGAATGAAAAACCTTGCACATGGCGGGTGCAGTTCGAGCCGACATGTTGGGGAGTTCTTCGAACCGGAGGAAGAAGGGGCCCTTGGGGAATCGAAGGATCCTAGCATTTACCCAGAGAGCCCAATACCCCTTAATTAAGGAACATACCTTAAATTATAGGAGTCTGAAAATTATGATTGTTCCTTAATTCAGGGGTATTGGGCTCTCTGGGTACGGCTTCAGATAAGGGTCCCTTCTCCTCAAGACCTCCCCACCTACCCACATCAGTGCCGAGCTGAGGATGTGAAGCAGAGCCTCTTCGAGATCGCGGGAACGGAAGACATCCAGACGCTCTTCGCCGCCCGGCAGAGCGGAACGTAGGGTTTAGGGGGTTTAGGGTTTCAGATTCCGGCGCCAGAGCTGACTGTTGTGATCTCTGCTGCCACCTAGGAGATGCTGGACTTCGATGGCGGCGGGTCACTGGAGACAGATGAGTTCTGCCAAGGATTGGAGAACATCGCTCCCAGGGCTTTCCAGAGATGGTTTCGGACTCTCCAGAGATGGTGAAAGAGTTCTCACTTGTGCGCCCCCTGTCCTCCCGACTTGTTTCGAGGCATATGCGTGACTAGTACATGAAGTAAGGCTTGTATTTGAGACTTCTGCTGGGCATATAGAGGACCCATTTCAGACTTTGGCAAAGCAAAGCTTGGCTTTGCTACCAGTCATTGCTATCCTTCGGTCACAGGAGACCTTTTACCCTACCTTGACCATCCTAAGCGATGCCACAGCCCGGCCCAGGGCCCCGTCTTTGGTCAAAACTTTCGTAGCTCATGGAAGCCCCTTATGAACTCAAGAGAACCCTTATAAACACATTCTGAGAACCCTGAAAGAATAAGCCCAGAAGACCCTTGACGTGAGCCTCCCACCGCCGGAGGAGTTTTCAAGGCAGCCAGCTCGTCGAAACCTCTGGAGCTGGACCGGCTGATGAAGCAATGCCGTGCCTCGGGACATCTTAGGCTCATTTTAAAGGCTTTGGAGCTCAGAATCTTTGGGGGTTTAAAGGCACTGTCGCCGGCCTCAGCGACATTGGACATTGGGACAGGGCTTCACAGAGATTGCAGGTCTTGCAGTTCCAGGTGTTCTGCCGAATTTTGAACGTCGCTTCCCAAAGCTGGCTGTTGCACTTAGTGCGGGAAGTGGACATGATCAAGCTCATGTGCCGATGGGCCAAGCCTGCATTGTCTTAAGTACTGCAACCGGTAAGACTGATTAGCATATTCTATATTGCGAAACATGCACATTTGCCATCTATAGTATAGGGTTGCTGACTCGAGCCGTACGGGGCCGGGGAAGGATGAGGAGAGTGCACATCATGCTGCTCCGTTTTGTTGCCCAAAAAAGAAGCCTAAATAATTACCGATATTACTGTTAGGGTTCCTAATTCTACTAATACTACAAAGGAGCCCAAAACTCTATTCTAATTATTGAGGCCCCTACAGTAAGATTAGCACGCATGCCGGCTTGAAGGGCTCGGAATAGAATGTCCCCAAGTTAGGGTTCCGAGAAAGGCCATCTACTCAGACTCATCCTTGGAGGTTCATGGCTAGTTATAAGTAGGGCAACTACCATATTTGGGGACTTCTAACTCCACTTACATCTACCCATGAGCCTCCAAGCAGAGCCCCATGATCCTGCAAGCAAGGAGACATTCTCATGAACAGTCGCAAGGCCCGGCTTTGTTGGGTGCCTTTCCGGGCTCTGCAAGTCTGGTGTTTGGCTGCACAAAGCGAACCAGCTGTGGAGACAACTGAATCAGTTGGAATCTGTGTGGGCCGGAGTCCAGCGTGGGGGTTTGATCACGATCTTGGCACAAGCAGCTGGCAATGATTGGAAGCAGCACCCTCAAGGTTCAGCGTTACACAGCCGATGGAAGACAGTTGACGCTCGAGACTAGAGGCAGTCTGACAAAACATCATGCTTTAAACGTAATTTCTCGATACAAACGAGCCGGCGCCTTCTTCAGGACTTTCTGCCGATGGACATCGTAGCCAAGACACGGGCTGGTGAGCATGAATACCTCATCAGAGAAGCTTACCCGTTGCCCTAACAACGCCTCTAGGATCCTTTGCGGAAGGCTTGAAGCCTACTTATAACTGCCCCTGGGCCTTGACATGAAGAAGCCCGGCACTGTCTGAGTGTCCCAAACCCTAAGCACTTGGGCTCCAGGCGTTGAACATGATTCGAGGAGACCGCACCGAGCTCCTTAGACTGAAATAACGTGGGGGGGAGGCTCAATCAGTAGATGGAGTTTTTGGGCGGATAGCAGACTATAACCAGAGTGAGGCACCCTAAGGAGTTGCGGCATGCTATGCCATAGTTAAGAGGTGGGAACCCTCAGGAATAACTTTGGTAGCCACTGTTGATGATATAAATCCTGCAGTACCTTAAGGACCCTCAACTATGGGAATTAGGGTATATTCGATCGGTCGGCGGGTGGGCGGGCGGGCGGGCGGGCAGGCAGGTCGGTAACTAGGGAGGTAGGGAGGAAGGTGGTAGGTGGTAGGTAGTAGGCAGCTAGGTAGCTAGATAGGTACGCATGTATGTACGTACGTACGTATGTAGGCATGTAGGCATGTATGTATGTGCGTATGTATGTATGTATGTATGTATGTACGTACGTACGTATGTAGGCATGTAGGCATGTATGTATGTATGTATGTATGTGTGTGTGTGTATGTATGTGTGTGTGTATGTGTGTGTATGTGTGTATGTGTGTATGTTTGTATGTGTATGTATGTGTATGTATGTGTATGTACGTATGTGTATGTATGTATGTATGTATGTATGTATGTATGTATGTGTGTATGTATGTATGTTTGTTTGTATGTGTGTGTGTGTATGTGTATGTGTATGTGAAATGATGCATGTAAGTAGACGGATGTACACAGATAGAAACTGCGCAACGTCTACATCTGAGGAACGAGCCTGCCGGCAGGAAGAGCAAAAGACATTGGTCTCCGAAGCAACGATGCTCGGCAATGTTTGTGATTTGCCACTGAGAAGGCCCGAATCGACCTAGATAAACCTCAACTAAGAGTCAGTGGCGGCCCGGACAGGGCAGAAAGCGGATCCCAGAAACCTTTGGCACACGGTGTATTTGCACAGCCGTATGAAAGAAGTCTCAAGAAAGATTTCTAACCAATAGCATTCTTTAGACAGCAGTGGAGCGTAGGTTAACATGAAAGCCATCAGTAGAGTAATGTTGGTGACTGTTGGCTGCGGCGGCTTCCGCACAGGCAGGAGTATGAGCATCGTTCACTCCAATGCCAAGACTACCACCCAGACCACCACCACCACTACCGCCACAAAGAGCGCATCTACTGCTTGCACTGCGACGACGACGACGACGACGATGACGACAGTGCCAATATTGAGTTCAGCACTACCATCATATACAGTGCGCCTGTGCCAGCACTGCTCCGCCAAAGCCACAACCCCAAAAAGGAGATACTGGGTGGGAAACCCAGAGCAGCACTGAATGATGTTCAGACCCTACCGTTCCAAACCTCTGTTTTGCCTTTCCACACCTTGATTAAACAACCCTAAACCCTTAAGCCCAATATCCCTAAACTGCCCTAAACCCTCAAGCCCTATAACCCTTGAACCCCTAAGCCCTATAACCCTAAACCCAAGACCCTTCTTTTACCTTTCTACATCTTCACTTTCTGCGAAACTTCCACTGTAACTGCCACGATTCCAGCGAGGCCGCGAGGAGCGCGTTCACTCCGGCTCGGAACCCTCGGGATCACCGAGGCAGGAACAGCAAGCGATTACTTTAGGGCTTCGGATTTAGGGTTTAGGGTTTAGGATATGGGATTTTAAAGGGTTTCGGATCAGAAGTTCGGGCTCGAGGGGACCCCTGATGACTGAGCCGCCCTCCTCTTGGAATACTGAGGTGAAGATTCGGAGATTGGGACTGGCTTTTCGTTTTTAAAGCCCGGAATCTGCAGTCTACATGGGTTCGAGGTTTGAAAGCCAGGGCTTTGCGGTCTACATTATCAATCAAGGGTTGGGGGTTTAGTGGGTTTAGGGTTCAGGGTTTCAGGGTTAAGAAGTTGAGGAATGAGGCTGAAGAGTTTGAGGGTCAGGATCCCAGGATTTCATAGGCTACCTTATGGTTGTGCACATGGTCCCTGAGGCTTCAAAGGCTAGGGGGATTGGATTGCTGGGTCTTACTGCAGGCCTTAGTTAGACTCAGTGTAGGGGCCTAAACAATTACCTGTTCTATTTTGTACTCATTTGTTAGGGGTCCCTTGTTATGTTCTGTTCATTATAGTATGATACTATTTTTAGGGGGTCCCTTGTTTAGTACTAATTATAGTATGATACACCCCAATTCTTACGGGCCCTATATGTGTCTTCTTGGCCGTGTTCAGCTCCTGGGCTGACGTGGGGTTTCGGGTTTTGAGTCCTTTTGATTCTTTGCTCTTCTTGTGTGGTTAGAGGTTGGCTTTCTGTGGCCAATTCGCCTTAGGCTGCCCGATGAGAAGTATATAGCTTTACCTAAACTAAACCCCTAAACCCTAAACCCCTAACCCCTAAACCCTACAGTGTAGGGCTGTAAACTAAACCACTAAACCCTTAAACCCCGCCTCTGTGCTTCAGTGTGGCTTGGGATGTTGAGGTCGAGACTCCCTTGAGGCTCCTTTTGCTTAGGCTCAGAGTCCCGAGGTTGGGAGGCTTTAGGGTTTAGGGTGTAGGGGTTTAGGGTGTAGGGTTTAGGGTTTAGGGTTTAGGGGGGCGTGTGGGCCGAGGTATGAAGCTCAGGTTTTGATGTTAGTTTTGGGGGTTTTTTGCTTGATAAACATCGGTTCCCCTTAGCAGAGCCTGTTTAAATCCTGCTACGATGACAAGAACTGTCTAAGAAACCCAGCTCAACAATCTCCTTGTGATGGGACTCTACTCCCAAGACAGGAGAAGCTCTGGCCTTCTGCGCTGTCCCCCAAACCCCCTTAACCCTAAATACTAAACCCTAAACTCCCCATAGTACCCTTTGAAGGGGCCGCTATTGTAAGCTGCACTCAACCCTGCACGATTATCCTCCTACAGCCCTCCAACCCGTGCTCCGGAAGGCCCAGGGGTGCTTCGAAGCTGCCGGAGGCGCCAGAGACGGAGTTGGTCTTGGAAGGAGCCGCAAGGTAGAAACCCTATCAGTTGGCAACAAACCCTATTCCCAAAGGCTCAGGCTCATCCGCAGGGAGCATCATTTTGACATGCCCGATTTCCCATCGTGCTGCCTCGTGAACAAACCCAGCGCTGGCCAAAGATCTCAAAGAGGTTTGCTTTTGGCTCTTCCTTGCAGAAACCAGGAAACTCCCAAAGCCCCGTTGTTATGATGCCAGCAATCTGTTTTCAAATTATGGTTCCTTTGGAAAAAGAATCCGTTGATTTGACAACGTTTCGCCCGTCCCTGTTGTATCAGATCCACAAGAGCAAACATGAGTGTGGTCTTGGCGTCCCGATGCACCGAATGTTTCTTGCACTAGAGCAGGACTCAGACATTGCTGCTGTTGTGTTTCCATCCCTGTATATTTGGCGCACAGGCTCAGGGGCCCAACGCCGGACTGGCAGTGCTCGAGCGACTTCGCTGCCGGAAATCATGGGTTCTGTATTCGGTAGTTTTGGGAGGGAGGTGGTGACGCTATTCAAGACAGTGTTTTGCGTGGACAGAGATGAAACACCGGCAGGGTTCCCCTGAGGCACGGGAGCCGCCAGGTGCAAAGCATGTTTAAATTCAGGGTTCTGAACAAGATGTATGTCAGACGTTTGGAGCGAACAATGGGCACTGACAATCATCGCACTATGAGCAACCGGCTGGCAAACTACAGCTATGATGCTAGGTAGTTCTGCAGTTGCGGCAACTGCAGCTACAACGTCAGCATCAATCACTACGGTTTCCACAAGCAGTAATCTAATGGTCATATTGCTGATAAAAGAACATCTAGAATACTAGACAGACGATTATTCGTGAGAACAATCGCAGCTGCAAGAGCGACGACAACCATGCCAAGAGTGACTTCAAGATCAACAATGATGACAAAGTCCTGGTTTCTTGCTCCAAGGGTTCATCGAGTTCCAGTTTCGATTTGTTGGACGAGTACAGGGCACACGGTGTTCCACTCTTCAGGAGAATCCAACATCATTTTCTTATCTTTCGACAGCACCATCACCATCACCACCACATGCAACATCATAGCCCCCATCATAAACCCGTTACTACGGCATTCGTCAGCGTTGTAGCCAATTCATGCAAAAATCAAACGCATGCATTAACTCACGGAAGCAATGCTTTGGCCAATGCCAGTTGTCTTGCGAAGCAAGCAACACATCGACAAAGGCATCGAACCTCTGACATTGAGAACAGTACAACATCCATCATCACACTCACGGGAAGAAGTAGGTCCTAGCGATGCCACATTTGCCACTCTTGCCGTGTTTGTTGTCACTGATGCTGCCCGCATCCCGTGCTCCCTGCTTCCGGCTGTTCCTGATGTTGAAGTTACCTGTCTTTGCTGTCGCTGCTGCTGAGAACTCCCTGCCAGCAAACCAGGTCCCGAGTCCACGCCCTGGAGAAAATGGCGTCCAACATGCAGGAGCCAGTTCGATGCACTTCAATTTAAAAGCGAGGCATGGGCTAACGTAATGTCTCCGGCTTAGACTAGAGTTCAGATCCCTAGGACTGGCGTTGACAGTTTCCCAAGGGTCGCTGCTTGTCGCACAGGCTGTACGCTTCTGCAGAGAGTCGTAGTTGAACTAGAGCTTTGGACTTTGTGGTTCGATGTCCGCTGGACCAGGCACTTCAGTAGCCGTAGCAAGTGCGCATAGGAAGAGAGTGCGGCAGCATGCGCCGCTCCTCACAGTTCGACCTTTCGAAGACCTTGGGCCGCATTCTCCGGTATGAGATAGAGAAGTACAGCCTCACACCAGATGAGAGCGGATGGGTGCAGCTGCACGAGCTTATCCAGAAGTGTGGCATCACCCACTCCAGAGAGGAGGTCGTCGAAGTGGCTCGCAACAGCGCAGGATCACAAGGCCGACGCTTCGATTTGGATGAGCCTGCCAAGGGCTTCTTCCGAATTAAGGCAAGGTATGTACATGGCAAGGGCGGCAAAAGCAGGGGCTTCAATGAGCCTTTCGGCAGCCAGGCGGGAAGCCGGCATGGCAAGGCGAGCACCTGCATGCCCGAGCCTGCACAGTCACGAACTTACACAGATCTCGGCGCAGATGCCAGAGAGTGGCAGAGCTCCACAGATCAAACGCCTGGGATTTCTGGAGGCTCTGGCTCAATCACAAGTCGGACAGAGACTGAGGATCAGCTACGGTTCCGCAAAGAGAGACAGGCCGAGACACCGCCTGTTGGAGATTCCCAGGACTCTTCCTTAGGACCGGAGTCCTTTGACATCTCCACGCCACGGTGCACAGAGAGCCAGTGGGAGAGGTACCAGGATCCCACGACAAATCGGGTGTGGTTCTTCAACAGCGAGAAGGACGAGTTCTTTTTCGAAGACTCAGCTGCAGATCGTGGGTGGTGCAGGTACGACAGCGATGTCGGGCCATGGTGGCACAACGAGAGGAACGAGACATGGTTCATGGAAGGAGCTTCGAACTAGACAGCTGCAGAAAAAGAATGCGAGAAACAAGGGGTGATTCGGTGCATCCTGGGCTTGCGGTTGTTAAGTGACATGCAAATGAGGTCTCAAGATGTCTGCCTCGGGTGCACTGCGCTCACCCAGCGTAGGCAGTCTCTGTGGCTCGCAGGTCGTCGGCAATAATGGGCCCCGAAGGCTGTAGAACCAGAGGACACGACCATTTAGCAAAGAACTCTTCTGTTCACACTGATTGCATCGAACTAGCTTCGAACTGACTTTGGCTTGATATCCTGCTGAGGAGGAACCTGGCAAAGGTCCCTGCTTCCTGTAGGTGCCCCTCTGAAACCGAGTGCAGACTCTGGTCTAATCCTGATCAATAAAATTCCATCCGTTGGGGTCATAGTGACACTTGCTAGGACTTGCTGAGGGAGAACGGGGTTGCTTTGTGTCTCTCTCTCTGTGTCTCTGCCCCTGAGTCTGTCTGTCTGTCGGTATGTGCTCTCTCACTCTGCCTCAGGAGGACACGGAGAAGATTCTGCAGCTGCTTCTTGACTTGAGCCCAGGGGTCGAGCAAAGTCCTGAGACGACATCAGATATTGCTTCCTGTTTCGAGTCAGTGCTGAAAATATAGCCCTTGTGTAGATCACGTTGCTTCTTGCTATGCTCTGTCATCATGATCTGCTCATATGTTTCCTGCCGCACTCTTCTACACTGTTTTCCCCAAACTTCAGAAGACTTCTTATGTGCGGAAGCAGAAGAAAGCAGAAAGCAGCTGAGCTGCCCTCGTGCTCTACTTGAGAATCTATGACCGGTAGCTACAGCTAGGGCCTCCGACCCGGAAAGCGTCGGAGGCTCCCAGGGCACCTCTTGAAGCTAATTTAGAGGTTTGAGAAAGTTACGAAGAGTATTCCGTACAGCCCCAAACCCCTTGCAGTCCTTCAGGATTTAAGGCTTTCGGGTGTCTGAAAGTTATTCAGAGTATTGAAAAGTATAGTATCCCCTTATAATCCTTTTTTAGTCGTTATATTATGACCTAACTCCTATGCCCCGAAACCTCACTCTTCAGATTCAGGCCCCCTCTTGAAGCTACCAGGTTGATGCAGGAGAACTTTGTCAAGAGGCCGAAGAAAGATGGCTCCTGTCATGTCGGGATCTTCTGAGTTACTTTGAGGTTTAGGGCTTAGGGCTTGCATCTACCATAGCCCACTTGGAGGTTCATGGAGTGGAGTTATAAGTACCCTAATATGGGGTAAAAAAATTGCAGTTACCTGCAGTTACCCTACATATAACCTCACTTACAACTACCCGTGAACCTCCAAGTACCCTTCCCTGTCAGGTGCTTGTAGGATGTACGGAAGATTAGGGTTCCGACAGAGGTTCCGATTGTGGTGAGGAGGGCTCCGATTAAGGTTCCGTCTAGGGTTCCTTTGGTTCGAGCTCCGAATATCAAGCCCTAAACCGTCCGTGTGCAGGGCCCCTGCTGCTGCCCTCGGGCCCTCTTTCGACGAGGACGGCGCAGGGTGAGTGTTCTGTTCCCGGAGTTCACAGTGTTTAGGTTCTGGATGAAAAGTGGCACTACTAGGTTTACTGTTGGTTGGGTTGGGGCAAAGGAACAGGGCCTTTTTGGGGGTTCTTTGGTCTTGAGGGTATTAGGGCTCTTTAGGGTAAAAGGGGCGTCTAGTGATCGTCGCTTGGGTAGCTTCAGTGGATGTAACATAGGGGCCTAAGAAAGTTGTCAATACTATTTTGGGGGGTTCCTTATTGGAATCATAGTAGAATATACCCCAAAACCGCATTCTAACCATTAAGCCCCTACATTAAGCCATGAAGCCGGGGGGGGCATCTGGAATCTCGTCGCTCTTACGGAGCACCTGAAGCATCATCCGAAAGCCCCAGCTACCGTGGCCTCCTATTACCGCCGAACCAACACCCTCTTTGCAAAAGGCCCTAGTCCGAAAAACTTTGAGTGTTGGCCCACAGCTTTTAGTTAAGGAGTATTCCTCAAACCATGATGGTCAAACTCCTATATTCCTTTCTGAACTAAGACCAAGAGGTATCTGCGGTTTCGGAGCCCAAGCCCCAGACATCGCACCGAAATCCAGCTGCACAACCCGATAAATACCCTACCGGATCCCTTTCAGAGCCTTTATAAATCCTTACACGAACCTCTGTGTTCGCGAGAAGGGACACCAGCAACGCAGAAGTGTGGTAAGACTGATTACACCAGCAGAAACCATAGTGGCAATACTTATTATAAGCCCACAAGCTTAACGAGGACCTGCAACAAACATTCCGGCCGACATCTGCCGAGATCGAGCAGACGCTGAGCAGCAAGGAGACTGGTACTCCCTATTTACAAGGACATGATTCAAACGGGGCTCAGCAGGCATCAAGCCGGAAGTGCTGTGTCCATTGTTGGCAAGGCTTGAGGTGTTTCGATAGATTATATTGCCGGTGACGAAGACAATGAGGATGATGACGGAGGTGATGGTGTTATTATTGATTGCAATGATGAGGAAGATGTCGAGAAAGCAAGAGACTCAGGATCATGATGACCAGCATGATCATGATGATTGTTTCGACAACCCCTCATAATGGTCATCAGATGACCACCAACATCCCCGCAGTAGTGGCCAGCATTACGCTTATGACCAATGATGCTCATGCTGCTGAAGATGATGACGCTGAGAATAGTGCCTGTTGTGTTTGTAGCAGTGCGACACAGTGAACAGGGTATTGTCGCCATCAGCATAAAACTCTAGGTCTTCACTGGTTAAACTGTACCCTCGCACCAGCCTTGCAAGCCGTAACCTCCACAACATCACCATCATGCTCTCAGCGAGAACCGTGAATGTCGCGAATGTCATCCGGCAGGCACTATCAATGTTTGCGTCACCCAGTGCAGGTCAACCGAGGTCCAAGCGCTTTAGTGCCAACTTTGCTTGCTTCAGTGTGTGGTAAGGCCAAGCGTCTTCTTTCTCTGGTTGCAAAGGCATCGGCAGGCCTCCAAGAAGCACAAGAAGAAGAAGCAGCCCGTCGCGCCTTGGCCAGGCTGCACTCAATCGGGTCCACTGCTTAAGCAGGGCCGAAGTGGAACATCCTAGCCTCAAGGGCCCAGGCAGTTCAGGTGTTTTGCCAAGCTTACCCAGAGCAGCCCGTGGGAGCAGCCACATTAACGTTCCATACAAACCGTGACAGCTTGCGGTGTGCGGTGCCTGTGGGCATTCTTCCGATGACTGCGCTGCTCCCAGCGACCTGTGGCAACAAAGTCACATCTACGGCTCAGAGTTTAGAGTTTTATGCTGACGCCTCATAGGATTCTCGGAATCAGGGACTTAGGGGGCTCATGTGTTCAGGCTGGAAAGTTAGGTTTAGGGTTCGCGGCCTCCGGTTTGATGTGGTGTTGGGGGCGTAAGACACTTCAAGAAGGCACCATGGTGTGTGAGGGAGTTATCCGAGGTGTACTCTTGGTCTGCTTCGCCGCCAGTGGATGTACCCCGGCGCAGTCAGAGATTGCGGTGCAAAACCAATGCCACATCGTAAGCATCTACATACGGCAAGGGAGAGAGATCAACAGCAAGACGACGCGAGATCTGATTTTGCCTGTCTGCTGAATGGAAAGTTCGTTCGCAGCATGTTCAAACCCACATGATCCATTGTCATCGCGGGAGCTTCCCAGAAGCAGTTGCGGTCGGAAAGAATGCGAGGCCGATGAAGTGGTTCTGCTTCGTCGACGTGTGGCACAACTCGAGGTCAGACCTATCTTGCGGGTTTGGGTCTGAGAACACAGGCGCATGCTGCTTGTAGCCTTACACTGGCACTAGTAAGCACCAAAGTGGATAGCTGGTGCAGGGAAATGTTGCACCACTTTTAGGTGCCAGGCAAAGCGAATGCTCCGTGACTTGTTGTCGTCGGAAATGCCAGGAAGCACGCGAACAAATAGTGGACGGAGCCCGGAGGGCCTTTATTATTATTTTTGTTCCTCCTCCCCGCGGCGGGCATTTTATTGTTTTTGTCCCCAGTGTCAAAATAAAATCTAGTGCCTGCACGGGGGGAGGGGATGGCCAAATGGCAGGAACCATAATAAAGCCTCCTCAAACATCCCCTAACCCTCCCTGCCCCGCCTGCTCCCTTGTTCCTATTATTCTTGTCCTCTGCCTCTCTCCACTCCCGCCGCTGGGACATGTCTTTAGCCCAGAAACTTTCCTCCCCACCTACCCTCCCTTCCCCTCGTTTTTGGTCCTGCACTTGAGTCCACCCGGCCTCCACTCCCACCGTCCTTGCCCGCCGCCGCCGCCCTCTCCTTGTTCCTCCACTGGGAAATGATGTTGTTGCCGCTGCCCCACCTCAGGGAAGCTTTCGGGTGTGCCCTCGGAAATGCTGTCAGTTCCAATAAAAAAGAGCTGGCAGCACCCCGGTATCCATCATGCAACCGTAGTGCCTATAGCTGGAGCGGTAGCAACAGCTGCAGCGGCGTCATGCGATCTTGATGCAGGCAGAGATTCGCAAGATGACGATGCAGCAGTTCTGGCCTTAATCACCTTTCATAGGGCTCGACATGATTCCTCAAATCTCACGCAATAAGCATGAAGCAGCCAGCCATGCATGGCAAACATCTGCCGGAACACGAAGTTGAATAAAGTCTTAGATCAAAACCGTAGTTTCCTGTGTTGAACGTCTCCTACCTCTTGAGAATGATAGCATGAGCCTTGCCAAGGTATGTCAGACCACAAAAGGGTCGTAAGCAGGGCTTTGCCTGTAGCCTCTCTTGCATGGCTGGATGTTCTGACGTTGGAAAGCTGCTCAAATGGCTTGCTAGACAACGTTCCCAAGCGGGCTTGGTGGTGATGTTTTGTTGTTTGTGCCCCTCTTTCGCAGCCGGTGCTTCAAAAACCCAGTGCGGAGCAACCTCTGGCAAGCTGCTAGCATCTTCCGGTCCTCTTCCCCTTTCCCCTCATGCGTCAGCTGAGGCATGAACTCGACCAGCCGGATTTCGAGTGACAGACTACGCGGGCTTCTCCGCAGTGTGAGCGTACCTGAGCAAGACCCGACACCCCGAGCTGGAGACCCGCAACCCCTCAACCCCAGGTGTAGGGCCCCTCGTAGATTGGAGGATGCTACCATTCAGGTCTGTGTCAGCCTTCCCCGCGAATTGCAGCGACATCCCTCGAGCCTCCAGAATGCTCTGGTCGTACCTTGCACCCCGGCACCGCTAATGCAGAGAGCACAGTGATGAGTTTGGGGTTCTCAGGCCCCGCCTCTTCACTGCCGAGGAAGGTCTGTTTGTGCATAGCTTAGGGCTTCGTAGAGAATATCCCTAAACCCTGAACCGTTTTCCTTGAGTCCTTGATGCTCATTTTCGTTGATCCAGGCAGTTTGCACGTGACTTCCTCGACCTGGCTCCACTGTGCGCGTAGCGACAAGCCTCATCTAGCTTTAGGTTCACGTAAGGCAGGGCATAGAAGATGCAGACAAGTCCTGCCGTGTGATCTTGTTCAGGTATTCAACAAGCCATGGCTGTGCAAGTGAAGTCTAATGCACACGCCCTAAACTCCCTAACCCTGAACCGTAAGCCACAAGCCCGACTTCTTCGATGTGATTTTTGTGTACTTTCCAGAAGTGGGACTTTCCGAAAATTCGGGGTACCTTATTTTGGTGTCCTTACAACAAGGATCCTACTATTCAGGTACTATATTAGGGTCCCCTATTTTCGCAAACCCCCAAGGGTTGTTTTTTCTCAAGGGTTTGCCAGATGCAAGGCATTCTATCCGGCTCCCGCTGACAAACACCTAAAGAGAGATGAGCGCTTGCCAAGACGACCCAGTCCAAGGATTTCACCATGCCCGTAGCTCTTGGCTGCATGTGTGCAGCCCGCTTCATGGACTGCTTGGCGATGACTTTCCATATGATAGGGGCCTTGCTGTTACTCACTAACATCGGATTTCGGGGGGCGGGTATATATCGTAAGTACAGTATAACAGTATAGTTATAAGTATGCAGGACTACAGCTGTTCGTAGTTATTCAGACCCGTACTGGCAGAAGACCAAGGCCCAGGGTCCTGAGCTGCCCACGTGAACTTGGACGTTGCAGGGGCTCTCATGAAGGCCCTCGCAAGGAGTCTGAACAGCACGTCGTCAGGGTCATCAACCTGTCTCAGTAGCGTACTCGTCCCCGCTAAAGGGGGGGGGGTGGACGGGGGTGAGGAGTTCTGAACATGTTGAAGCGTCTTGCCTTGCTCGTGCCGATTGCGGCGAAGGCCGTAGCGAGGCATAGAGCTCAGTCCGCCTGAAATCTCAAGTTACCCAAGAGCCCTTTTTCTCCTTTGGCACAAAGTCTCCAAGCAGATTCCCAGAGACACCTCCCTCAAGGGGAAGGTGAAGATCAGGGATGTCGTGGGAAACAAACTGCGCGAGGTATCCAAAAATTGCGCGGGGTTTTCAGAACTGAGTTTTGTTGTGTGTTTCCACGGTTGATGATTTCCGTTGTCGTGATCTTTCTTGTTGCGACGTCTCTCTGTCAATGCCATGTAATTGCGATCCACACTATCGCAGCTACTAGGTGCAAATCTCCTTCTCCCACGAACCATTCTCCTTCTGTTGCGAAGTGATTCAGGAAAAAAGTCCCCTCCCCCACAACACCTTCTGCTTGGGCGGCGAGGGGTGCCCTGCTGTCCTCCAGAGCAGACTTCCAGCATTCGGAGGGCTTCAGCTGCAAGTGAAGATCACGGGGGGCATGTACCATAGGAGCCTAAACACCTGCCTATGCTTTTTTGGGGGGCTCCTCATTATTAGTTATAGTATAATCTACCACAAACTCCCTATTCTACTTATTATGGCAAAAACATTGGATCACTTGGGCATGTATAAAGGAGCTCTACTTATGTCCCAACAGAGATTCTAGTCTCAAGCAAACCTTGAAAACCTCGAAACTGCTAGCGGCATCACCTGCATAAAGCCCACAGATACCCTTGCTCGTTGCCAACTGCCTAGCCTTAATGTAGAGGCCTAAATAATTACCGATACTATTTTGGGGGTTCCTTATTATAATTATAGTATAATGGGGCCCAAAACCCTATTCTCATTATTAAGGCCCCTAAGCCTTACGTAGCAAGTCCCCCCCACATCCTGGACTCCAAGAGACGGGAGATTAGGGGCCTTGACACTGCCAATAATAACAAGAAGGGTAAAAGAAGGTGGAGGGCTTTCAGTAGGGCCCCCGGAAGTTTTTAGCCGGTTTTAGAGAAGTTCTTCCGCAGGATGTTGCATTTATCCCGGCGCCTTTTTGGTTTAGGGTTCTGTTGGGTGGATCCTGAGGAGTAAGCTGGGTGGTTGTGAAAGACCTTGACTCTGTTGCCACAATCAATCGATGTTCGGTTTGCGGTTGCGCGCTTCAGCGTGATGTCCCTACTATGTTCATTTCAACCATATATTCTACTATATTACTATGTTATACTAGATTCTGTTCCATCATGTTAGTTTATATAGGTTTTAGAGCAAGCTCAGCCCTGTAAACCCTATAAGTCCTAAAGCCCAGAACCCCCAAACCCGAATCACTAGAAACCCTTTAAATCCCAAGACCTCTCTTTGGCCGAGGCCAAGCCCGAGATCATGGAAGCTCCCAGGCCCCGTGCAGACTCTCTTTGCGGGTTTAGGGCTTAGAGGGATTGTAGTGATTAGGGTTTCTCTTTTAGGGCTTAGGGCTTAGAGGGTTTGTAGGGTTTTTAGGGTTTGGGGCTGTTTTGGGGTTAGGGTGTATTTGGGGGGCGGTTTAGGGCTTAGAGGGTTTGTAGGGTTTTAGGGTTTGGGGCTTTTTGGGTTTAGGGTGTATTTGGGAGCTTAGGGCTTAGAGGGTTTGCAGGGTTTTAGGGTTTGGGGCTGCTTTGAGTTTAGGGTGTTTCGTGTTTACAGGGTTTAGGGTTTTAGGGCTTAGGGCTTGGTTGATCCAATATCCCTTCATTAAGGAATCTGCTTTTAATTGTAGTAGCATACTTACCAGGATTAAAAGTATATTCTTTAAGGGATATCGCAAGGGTGCAATTGCTCCGGAGTTCAAATACAAGCGACTCGTAGCACATGCCATTAACATCGGTTTGATCAGAACAACCCTCAACAGAATGCTGACCACGATTTGCATAGTGTCGGTTTGGTCTCCTTGGTGCTTGTTGAAAGTGGTGGAGAGCACAATGCGTAGAAACTTCCGCACCGAAGACACCCCCTCAGCCTTCACTCCCAAAACTCTCACTCCCACCATTCCGCACTCGAACATGCCTCTACTAGGGCCTTTACATAAGGACCACATTTAGAATAAAAGAAGCCTCAAAAACGTTCATTGAATTTAAACTCGAAGGGTGTTTGCTTAGTGGCTGGGCTTGATTGACCTCGGCACAGAAGCGATGACTACCACTGCCAAAACCAAGGCCACCACTAGGGTTGGTAGTAGGAAAAGGGCTGGATTTTCGCAATGGTAGGGGTGATGAGGAGAAAGCTTCTCGTCCTCCCCTGAAACCAACCAACTTCACACATGCCTTCGCTGGAATTCAGGTAGGGCTCGTTTTACATTGGCGAAAAATCCTATTTGCATGCTGCTTCGTATGTACCCACAAACAGTAAAGGTGACCGACGCAGCGGCTGACTTATGGCCCATAGAACCAAACCCCAGGAGCAACTGCAGGAGCCGGAATGTTTAGACCAGGCTCATCGGGTATATTATGTTTGCGGCCAAATAAAGACAAGAAACAGGGAATTGATGACTAAGTGCTCTGGAGCCTAAACCCAATCGTCCCATGGCATGTGCTTCACAGAACAAGCGACACTTGCATATGTTGAGGTAACCTCCCAGTAAGGCAACGGCGCATCGATACGAGCTGTTGCTCGAAGCTGATTCTAGCGACGGCCCATAGGGGTTCCGGCACAACTAGAAACTGTATGCCAGCAAGAACGCCTCTTTGAAGACATGGCCGATACTTGCTGTAGCAAAGGATGTGGACTGTGCGTCAAGTGCCCGAACGCCACCCCTCCCCCTTTAACGTCGCAGAAATCTACAAAATGCTCCCGAGCACAAAACAACACAGCCCTCTGAATGCCTTCAGGCTTGGTGATGTCGATCCAGATGCTCCACTGGTGCAAAGCCCGAAGGAGGCGGGATGAGGATTTCGAGCGGCCTTCTCGTGGCACAGGTCAGGAGATCATCTTTGTCTCGTCTAGCGTGTCACTGCACGGCAATAACGTGAAGTTGAGGAGTCCTTTGCGCACTCTGGCAAGCACTCCTGCAGAGGCTGTGGAGCGACGCCAGTACGGCTCCACAGTGCCAGCCTTACACAATAGGGCGAACAGAGCTTTCAGAGAGGGCTGGCGTGAAAAGGGAAGGCGAGCAATAACGGTTGGGGGCTCTGTGTCGAAGCAAAGATCACATGCTCCTTCGAGGCAGGCCCCCCGAAAAGGCGGATTTGTAGGTTCCGAGGAAGGCTTCAGCCTGCAGCCAGAAAGTCGCAGTGCCATGCCTGGTTACAGAAAGTGGCACATGGTTTTCGCTGTGTTGGTTGCATCCGGCCGCAGGACAGCGCATTCGCAAGACAGCGGGGAGCCTGGTTTCAGGGAACATGCATTCCTCGCTGCAGTCCACAACAAACTGGAGAACATGGTTTGGTAGATGAAAGAGCAAGAGCACCCCACGAAGACATTGGCATGTACGTGAGTGACCGCCAGCAGTAGTACCTTTGGATGCAGTGTGTGTTGTTGTTGGTGGCTCTTGCGCCTTACAGCTTCTATTACTATTGCGTTTCTGATTGATACTGTTGTTATGTTCAGACTATTACTCGTATCACTATGATTACTATTATTACTATGATGTCTCTGAGTACTAGGGTTATGCTTATTGTTACTACTATCACTATTGTCACTATCATTGCAATTATTATTATTATGACGATTACTCCTTTGACTTATCTCGTTTTGCACGCTTCCACGGCCAGGCTGCAGGAGGAGTTTAATCAAGAGGTTGC